TGCTGGGAGAAACGACCGATGACAGGTTTTAATTAGTCCTGCATTAAGCAGGGTTCTACCTGAAAACCCAGGACCGGAAGGTGCACGGATACACATACGTGAAGACCTCTATTTCCGGGAAGTGACCGTGATTGTGGGGGCTGGCGAGCGTGCAATCCAGAGGGCAGGGGGACACCACAGGCGGCCAACTCCCCCAGGCGGGGCTCAAGCCGAGACAGTCTGCCCCTGGACCATCCTCACCCTTTGGCTTCCAAAACTTTTTCCATTGAGCAGATATGGCTGAAAGTAGTGCCATTCATTCATTCACTCATTCAACAGCCCCTCAGCATTGTGCACAGGCGTTAGGGCAGGTGTTGGAGGCGTGAAGGCCCGCGTTCCATCCTGGCTGTCGGTTTGCACAGACCAGTGAGAATTGTCTGCACTGAGAGCCCAGTCTACTCGTATGCTAAAGCCAGCATGAGATTTTATTTAAAAATATGTGTTTAAAATGCATATTCTTTCTCTCATGGTTGGTAAGCGGCTCGGGAAATACCCTCATATACTCTGACCACAAAGCTGGGATCTAAGAGGACAAAATCGAAGTTGCACTGTCTCCACGGAAAAAAATGGACTTTTACTTAGCGCCGCCCTTTGAGCAACCTGTTCTACCTGATAACAAGCGTTTGGTTTTGAAACCACAGCAAGTCTGAAGTGGAACCTAACGTAGGGCAAACTGCTACCACTGAGTAGGAAGCGTTCTGGGGAAGGAAGGGGCAAAAAACTAAAGCTCACACCGCCTAACGGCCTTAGTGTGAGGGGCTGGCTCTGCCTTGAAAGGAGCAGCTTCTGCTCTTTCGCTGACCCCCAAAGCCGAGATGAACCTGGTGGGTGGATGGGCCGGAAGGACTCGTGCACGTGCAGCTCACCCCTTCCTCTTACCTGGCATGTGGTTGCCTTCGGAACAGGTGCCTCCGTCTGGCCTGGGCATGGCCAGCTACCGAAGGCAGGGGCCCACAGTCCTGCCCGGCTTGGGAGAGCTTCCTGTGATCTGCAGCTGTCAAGGCTTAGGGAGGCCAGTCCACCTTGCTGCAAATCAAATTGTTTCTACTATGAAAGCTAACATTTTGCTCTTCACCTCTCTGACTCGTGTCCACTCAGCTGGCTTGGAAATGGAAAAAGAGGGGCTATTTTTGAGGTCACATATCAACACTCGATGGTCTACATACAACCACTTAGTATACAGGAGTATCAGTGCACATAACTCATCAGGTATGTCCGTTAGGGATGGTCATCGTCATGATCTTACACCTTTAATGAAAATTTAAATTACACTGCATTGACGTGTTCAAAAAGGTGTGTGTAATACATCTGAGAACACTGCCTATCTAAAAGCTTTGATTCTAAGCAAGGATAAATTCCTTACCACTCTGGAGAATGCAGCCACCCATACCAATTTCTTTCATGATGATTCCAGATAGCAAAAGAGCGAAAAAACACCTAATTTATGTCTTTTATTCAAAGGGTTCTATCCCCCATACTTTCTCCTTGATTCTTTTTCTTGAGCTTGTGTCAACCGAGCTTGAAGATATTTGTTTTGCACAAACAGGGAGCAGGAGAGCATATGAGCAAACAAAACAAAGGCAACACTATTTACCGTGACAGTAGGAATGTCGTCACAAGAAAGCAGATATTAACTTAAAAAAATCAGGACTTAACTAAATGGAAAAAGGTGAAATACCAACTTAAAATCTAAAAACACCCATCCCCTACGAAACTGGAGATTGTGTTTTTTGTTTTTGTTTTGTTTTCTTTTGTTTTTTAGAGACGGCGAGCAAATGGGGGAAAGGGGCAGAAAGAGAAGGAGAATCCAGCTCAGTGTGGAGCCTGACTCCGGGCTGGATCCCATGACTCTGGGATCATGACCTAAGCCAAAATCAACAGTTGGATGCTCAACCAACTGAGCTACCCAGGCGGTCCTAGTCAAGTTTGCTCTTAACCAGGACACATGTAATTTTCACTCCGTACTTTCCATTTTTTTTAACGTTTATTTATTTTTGAGACAGAGAGAGACAGAGCATGAATGGGGGAGGGGCAGAGAGAGAGGGAGACACAGAACCAGAAGCAGGCTCCAGGCTCTGAGCCGTCAGCCCAGAGCCCGATGTGGGGCTCGAACTCACGGACCGTGAGATCGTGACCTGAGCCGAAGTCGGTCGCTTAACCGACTGAGCCACCCAGGCGCCCCTGTACTTTCCAGTTTTTACGCACATAGCAATTTGAAAATCCAGGATTTGTTGTAAGTGGGCTACACTGTTAGATGAACGCCTTGTTAACATATTAGAAACAGGGTTCCCTTTTCTGCTTTCCGTTCTGAGACTGCAGAAAATGAATCTGAACTGGTGTTTATAGTTAACAAATCCTATAAATAGGAAGTTACAATGCTGTTGGTCCTACCACGTCTTGTGCTACTTGGAGATTCTAATTACAGCAACTGGTAAAACACAAAAACGAAACAAAACAATACAAAACATTAAAAAACCAAAAAGCCACCACTCTGTGACGACCGGCATTTAACAAAATGAGCGAGCGATTCATTCACACAAAGCTAGCCCGTTTTCACAGGCTCAGTGTGTCCTGTTTGATTTCTACAGTGGCATGTGCAACCCATTGGTATTAAACATATTTTCAAAAATGAAGAGAGTCTAAGGAGCAGCCAGTCCGTTACTGTTGTGTCAGAAGTAAATACACAGGCTGGGCAGTTATGAGTCCCACCCCCTCCTGGCTCTCTGATCCTGGTGGGCGACAAAACCCCTTTGGACTTTGGTTACTCCACTTGTCAAATGAATGTCATCCCATTTACAGTTACCATGGAGTTGGTGTTTGGATGGAATGAGACAATATGCCAGAGTTTTTTGAAGCGAGAACAGCCGTTGACATGTAGGCTCACGTTTCGGTTTCGTTTCACCGGCTATTATATGACCTTCTGACTTGTCCCAGCTGAACCTTTTTTTAATCACCAGGAACTTGGGGGAAAATGATACCTACCTCAGAATGCCGGAGAGAGGATTAGAGGACATAAAAGACAAACTGAAGTTTGTGAAAATGTAGGTTGATTTTTATTGCTTGTTGACTATGCATAAAGAAAACATGATTGATTTCGTAGAATTTATTCTCTTGACTACATGTTGAAAATCAGATCCACCTAAGTCCCCTTAAAACCTGAAGATTTTCTCGTGAGACCTGACACGCTGTGCGTTAAAATGAGTGCGTGGGTTTCAGTGATATAATGGGACCACATTGAACTTTGGGGGCATTTAGACCAATGCTGTTTCCGTGGGGAATTAGATATTCACAACTGAACAGCCTAAGTTAATTCCACACAGCAATTCAATCTTTCACTGTAGATTATCTACAAGAAAGAAAAGGAAAAGTCGCAGCGGTTCTGATGAAAATAAGTGTAGTGGAACAAACATTTCCTTGTTTGCTGTTGCTAGACGTCTGTGTCTCATAAGTAGACACCATTCTGAGAGCGCGTAGTTGCATCCTACTTCCGTTGGCACGTTTTTCCGTCCTCCGACTTCCCATCCACCATCTCGGTTTTATAGGATGTTAAGTTGCTCAGTGTGAAGGCCTGAGGTCGGTACCGTAAAGCTCACGGACACGAGGCAGGCGTTCGGTGGAAGATGCAGGTGGTTTAGAGGCAGACGTGACTGCTTTCGTGGCACGTCGTACCCGCGCCAGCCACGGACAGGTAAAGCTTCCCATCTGGACACACACAGATTTCATAGAGTTCTTGTGAGCTGCCGGCAGAGCCCTGAGTCCCCTGAACCAACTTGGGTAAACACACGGTTTCAGCGTCAAGCACGAGCTGTTTGGGAGAAAACAAGAGATGAAGTGGTCCAGTGGGATGAGCGGGACAGCATGAAACTCGTATCTCCAAATGCTCCAAACAGATTAGTTTTTTCTCCGCATAGAAAATGAAATGAGGCACGGGACTTAAGTCTTAGGTGATCATTATATGATCAGATTTTCTTTCTTTAAAAAAATTTTTAATGTTTATTTTTGAGAAAGAGAGAGAGAGACAAAGCACGAGCAGGGGAGGGGCGGAAAGAGAGGGAGACACAGAATCCGAAGCAGGCTCCAAGGCTCTGAGCGGTCAGCATGGAGCCTGACGTGGGGCTCGAACCCACAAACTGGGAGATCATGACCTGAACCAAAGTCAGACGCTGAACCAACTGAGCCACCCAGGCGCCCCTAATATTTATTTTTTTTTTGAGAGAGAGAGACAGAGAGAGAGAGAGAGAGAGAGAGAGAATCTGAAGCAGGCTCCAGGTTCTGAGCTGTCAGCACAGAGCCAGATGCGGGGCTCGAACTCACAAGCCATGAGATCATGACCTGAGACAAAGTCGGACGCTTAACCCACTGAGCCACCCAGGTGTTCCTTCACAATTTTTACCTGTGAATGTTGGGATTTCTGTTGATTTTGTTTTCCCAGAAGAGGCAATTACATTCATCCGATTAGCCACCAACCTTCCCTAGTTTCTAAAATATTTGAAACTCTGCTGCCTTCTCGTAGGTGTGGAGGAACAGCAGACACACAGATTAACGCCAACTGAAAGTGAGTAAAAGCTATTGGGGTTTTTGCTCCTATTCTAGTTGAAACTGAAATGTAAACAAATGGTCATTAGTTGGGGTTTGAAATTCTGGGAACGAAGAAAGAAGAACCCTCTTGAGTAGCCAAATCTCACCTACTCCAGGGCACTCTCTTGTTAGCAGGAATTAAGGTGTGTCGCAGGCAGGCCGAATGTTCTTCCTTGCAAACAAGGCTGGACTCTTCTTTATTTATATACTCTTATCTACAAACTCCAATCTTATTTTTTTAACTTTTAAAAAATTTTAAGTTTATTTAATTTGAGAGAGGGAGAGAGAGAGAGAGAGAGAGAGGCATAAAGGGAGGAAGACAGAGAATTGCAAGCAGGCTCCGCACTGGCAGTGCAGGGCCCAGTGCTGGGCTCGAACTCATAACCGTGAGATCATGACCTGAGCTGAATACCAAGAGTCGGACGCTCAACCGACTGAGCCATCCGGGTGCCCTCATGGACTCCGATCATATATATATAAACTGATGCGTGCAGTCTGTACTCTCGGGAAGTTGGCCACTCCTGTGTGAAGTAGTGGGTGGAACAGTATTAGAAGCAAAGCTTTGCCTTGTGGTCTGGGACACGGTCAGAGGAAAAGAAGGGAAATGTATACTGTATTGTTTTTAAACGTGGAACCTACTCATGCTATTGTCCAGTGCTTTGGGTTCTGTCTGCTCTCCTTTCTTATGGTTACTTGGTGATGTTTCTTTTCTAGTTATTTTTTTCCTGCTCTTCTAGCAAACCCTAGTCACTCAGTAGTCCGCATACCAGTTCCTTGCTCATCTTCGTTGGTCTTTGCGGGAATATATCTTGTGGGAGGCCAGACATCTCCTCACTTGGAGCTAGCTCCCAGTAAGAAGGGATAGCAACTTCAATTATGAGTCAGGCTGTATGCAATTATAAACATGACCTCATTGATGGAAACAAGTGACATTATTTCAAAATTAAAATCGGTATGTATTTTGTCAAGGTCATACAGTTGAAGTACGTAGTCACGTTATGATGTGGTAATGAGGTTCCAGAATTCTTGACTTCTCATGTTTGCATCTATCTGCTCCTGACACCATAACGTTTTAAGTTACAACTTGAAGGGGCTTCACCAGATGACTGTTCTATCCTCCTGGCAGGCTGCCGTTGGACAGGTCCTGTCCACACACATGGGCCACCTCTCATGGTCTACGTTTGCTACTACTGTCCCTTCCTGTTAGTATTAAATTGACATAATTTAAAAATGTTGTCACCCATATTATCACATTGGTATCGTCTGTGACTTAGTTAAGCAAGTATCATTTTCCCTACTTGACAAATGAGAAGACAGGTCCAGGTCCGGAGAGGCCTGTTAACTTCCCCGAACTCAAACAGGTAACCTGCGAACTGATCTGGTACTAGGACAATCAATATTGAGTAGCAAGCGCTCTACTGCTTTGTTATGAACTTTGGCTTGTGTCGGTGACGTTTTATCCCTGGACTTGAAGTTCCAGATGTCATCTTTCTTGTGGCTTTTAAAGCTCTTATTTTTCACATTTAACTTGCACGCAAACTTAATTTGGTGCGAGAAAGCATAGCGCTCTAGGCAATACGTGCTGGTGGCTGTCATTTATGGGGAGCTCCCAGTGACCGCCATATTGAGAGAAGCCGCATCCACAGGAAGTGGCTCGGAAAATCTGCAGTATTCTTTCCCAGATGAAAATAACAAGAGACTGGACAGCACAGATACCAGGCAAAGAATACTGTCTGGATCCAGTACAGCATAACTCTAACCGTTCTTGACTCTTCTTGAAATGCACGATTGTCTCTTGCCTTCTTTTCAGTCGGTTTACAGACGGCCATAAATTTAACGATACCTTAATGGATGTGAGGATCACCAGGAAATACACAACAGGAGCTGGCGCACTGAACTCACCATTCCATCACTACTTTGGAAAACGATATCCATTTGAGAAAGGGCCTCGATTTTCCCAGCATGAGCTTTAATATGAACACCCTTTGGGGCATCCATGCTTAGACTCCGTGTGGGAGACTCTAATCTGAAATGAGGTAAAGAAACAAACAACACACAAACAAACAAACAAAAAAACAGTATTAAAAATAATTCCCCAGGAATCCCTCACTGACTGAATGGCGTTGCATGAAAATATAACTAATAAAGTATAAAGCACCATCGTGTCATGCTTGAATCCCACTAGAGTGTATACGCCTTATTGACCAATCCAGAAATAATGTGTTAGTTTCAGTAAGGAAATTAACTTCCCATCAGTGAGAGTCTACGAAATCAGTATCCTCTAAAAACGGATAAAACATTAGACAGCCCTACCCCTACGTAGTAGTTTCAGATGGCAGGGTTAAGCACCCTGCATATTACACACCAAAAGAAAATGCTACTTGTGAAAACTCTGTAAAGCTTTCTTTTTAGTGAAAACTCACACTTGTTTGGGGGAAAAAGACAGATTTAAGGAAGGATAACATGTTCATTTGCCACCTGTTCATAAAATAGAATGCATGTTTAGCCTTGAGGTTTTGTTTTTTTGTTTTTTTTTTTTTAAAGCTTAGGAGGGTTACAAATGCAAAGATTTCTTTTGGGAAAGAAATTAACTGGTAGAGTTGATATACTGGCAGGATGGAGACTGGCCTAGGCTGGCTTTGTTTTTTGCAAAATCTATCAGAGTCTCCTTGGGACTAAGTCAAACATAGATACAGAGCCGGGAATATATGGATCAGAGAAATACCATTTGCCTCTGCCTGAAAAAACACTAAATTTCCACCAGATGGCACACCATGATCACTTGAAAGGTTCAACCCAAGGCAACGCCCGACCCAACCTAAGGCAACCCAACCCCTAAGTCTGGAAGGCTGATTTGACTGAAATGTTTAAAGATCAGTAAGAAGTGGAACAGGATACAGGGTACAGGTCTGTGATCCACCCACGGCAGGGTAAGATTAGGGTAGGCATGGGCAGGGGAGACAAAGGGAGCGGCTCCAGAGGACAGAAGTATCTAGATCGTTAATTAGCATTTGAACTGATTGAATATTTACCCCATAGACCTTTGACTCGGAGGAACTGTTACCTTCAATTGGCACGTTTTTTGTCTACCACTCTTTGTTACAGAAAACAAAGTTTCGTTTTTTTTTTATGTACATCTCAATATGAAAAATTTGATGTTACGCATTTTGAAATTTATATTTACATTGAGTACAAGAAAACACTTAAGAGATATGTATGGAATGTATTGGTCAAATTATGTTAAGCTTAGGTTATGGGCTAACAGTTAGATATATCCAGATGATTTGGTCTGTGGATTGCCTGCCCATTTTGCCACTTTGCCATCTGCTAATTATCTACATTTTTCCTGCCTGCATTGATAGAAAGAAAGGGAGGGGGGATGGGGAAGGAAAGGAAGGGAGAAAAGCATGGAAGCAACTTGCAGAGGTCTGGTCCCTTTCAGGCGAACCACTGGTGATCTTGAAGACCCTAGTGAAGGCAAGTGTGCTTCAAGATCAGTCATCAAACCACAAAATGACTCCACTAGTCAGGTCCATTAGTCAGGACCAATCACTAGTTCTTAGCCAGGTTATAATACGGTGTTTCTGGAATAGCAAATTTCTTCCCCTTTGCATCACTTCTGACCTTGAAGATGAAACGTATCAGTTCAGCACAAGTTAAGACACATTTCACCAAAAAAGGTTGTGATTAGACAGCTCTGAAGTACACATTTCCATGAACACGCTGACCAACAGTCAGATATAAAAGAACTTATTTTTTTCTCTTTTGTTATATTTTAGTTTGCTGGTTAGATATCGAGCCCTTTCTTCAAATATGAACATATAAATATTTACTCATGGCCGGGGGTGCCTGGGTGGCTGTCGGTTGAGTGTCCGGCTCTTGATTTCAGCTCAGGTCATAATCTCATAGTTTGTGGGATCGAGCCCCGTGCTGGGCTTTGCACTGACAGCACAGAGCCTGCTTGGGATTCTCTCTCTCCCTCTCTCTCTGCCCCTCCCCCACTCTCTCAAATAACTATTCAAAAAACATATTTACTCGTGACTTACATGAGGAACAAAAAGTTTTGAACACTGCTCCAGAAATACACTAAATAAATAAGCTGTGTGTGTAAATACACAAACATGCTCACACACAATTCGGGTTATAAAAATACATTTAATTAAGATAATATGATTGTTAAAGCAGGTGAGTTTTAAGCTGTGTTCCTTTTTAAGTAAAGACACACAGAATTCAGTAACTTCCCAAACTTTGGCCCGTATTCATTTTTGAGTTTAGGGCATGTAACTGGTCAATCACATCTGATTATAATATTTCTTGCTCATGTCATGTTAGTACCATTCAAACAAAGGGGAAAAGTTATTGAAACGTATGGATAATGTTTTGATTTCAAGCCCTTTCAGGCTCCCATTAAGCCCAAATTTTGCACAGAGGATGAGGGAGCAGGGAGCATAAACGCAAACTGACAAGAAAAGCTGGCCTTGAGGCAGCACTGGCCAAATCACGCAAGGGCTAGATCGTGTCCCCTGGCAGACCATGCCGACCGCTAGGCCCTGTTCACTGTGTTCGTCTTTAATCTAAACGTGGTGGGGGAAAATGCATTTAATTCATTTCACCCTTATTTATGAAGTCCCTATTATGTGCTGTTCTAGGTTTGTAGAAAAACAGGAGCAAACAAGGCAGACAAGCTTCCTGCCTTTAGGAGTCTAACATTCAAGCAGACGAAAGGCTGTAAGCAGAGGAACGACCCGATTCCAGCTGTGTTTTACAGACAAATCTATTAAGTCTGCTCAAGACAGATAAGCGGCTCAGAGCTCTCCTCTCAGTGCCCACTTACACATAAATGCTGGCTAAAATACAATGGGGAAACAAAATACATTAAAACACATACTAGGCATAAAAAACAACAAGCAAAGGGCATTTTCATTGTGCCAGAAACACAAGAAACTCCTAGAGTGATGAGTGGGAGTTGAAATGCTGGAGCCCTGGAGGTACCGGGCAGACTAATGCCATGTGGACTGGTATTTTAAATCTCTACAAGGAAGGAGTTGTGGCCAACTACGGGAAGGGGGTGGGGGTGGGGGGGGGCGGGACAGAGGTGTTTGGCAACGGGCTCTGGGCACACAGATGGGAGGTGAAACGCTGCATGGTAACAACCCTAAAGCAGGCTGCTCGTTCGGGGATGTGAGCAGAGAGTCTTCAATCATGCATTAGTGTAGAACCCAAACGCACACACTATTCAGGCCTTGCAGGAGCCCAACCTGGGAAATACTTATAAACCCTGGCTTCAGAACAGTGCCCCCTGCAGGGCCCGGGCGGAAGTGAAAGTGAAACAGACATGAAAGGCAAATGGAAGGGTCTCCCCGAATGCTTCTCCCAGATGAAGAGCCAAAGGGCATGAATGCCCAGAATTGCCAAACCACATGGGCGAATCTCTCAACATGAGGAACTAGAGATAACAGATCAGTCAGAAAGGGACTAACACGTAACTAAGTTCAGGGCATCCAAAGAGATAAATCAATGCTCATAGAACAAGACCAGAGTAGAAAAAGAAAGACTTAAAAACCAGGTAAGCAGGTGCGCCTGGGTGGCTTAGCTGGCTGGGCGAACGACTCTTGATTTTGGTTTTGTGTATGATCTCACGGTTTGTGAGATCGAGCCCCCAGTCAGGCTCCACGCTCCCAGCACGGAGCCTGCTTAGGATTCTCTGTCACTTCCTCTGCCTCTCTCTCGCTCACACACACAAAAATTAATAAGCGAAACTTAAAAAAAAAAATGAAAACCAAGGAAGTAGAAATCCATGAAGTAAAAAAATTGAAGTCTTCCGGCAGGCTAAATGGGAGGCGTGCCACATATGAAAAGAGAATAGGATGTTGTGAAGTGGCTTTGGTAATTCAGTGGAAAAACGAGAAATGTAAAATCTGAAATAGAAGTTTAATGTTTTTCAATGCATAAAATAAAGCACATAGAATTTCAAAGGGAACTAATGACTTTTAAATACAAATGCAAAAATATCTTTCAATGGGTGATACAGCAATTTATGAGCTTGTTTAGTGATGTATTAAATAAGATCTGGTCGGAGGTCTTCCAACTAGTGTAATTTCAAAGCAGGGAAGAGTGTGTAACGTATTCCGTGATGCTAGCTATAACCTTTACGTGATACTGAGGTACCTCTGGCTTCTACAGACGAAAAAGTCAGAGAAACTGCTGATACTACTATGGTTTGTTGCCTCTCATTTATAGCTGAAGGAATGCAAAATGTGAGTTGGAGGTCAGCGAAAATGAAGGATTTCTTTTTCACGTTCAAAATCATTAGCCCGCTAAATTCTATTCTTGGATACCCAGGGGATCCACAGACCACAAGTTAAGAACGCCTGTACTCTGGAGAATGAGAAGACACAGAAATGACGAGGTCATGGTTAATCACTTTCCAGAATTCACAAATAACAAGAGTTCCTAACATTGAAGTGGCAACCTAATACCCAAGTATGAATTAAGACATACCCGGCACCCAGACACTTGGCGGTAGAACTGCAAAACTTTGAGATTAATGAGGAATATTCAGAATGAAAATTGCTCACCAAAGACCCAAAAGTAATGAATAATATCTCGAGAATGCTGATGAAAATTTACCATCGGCCTAAAAATCTATCCCAGCTTAACTATCATTCCACTGTGAAGGGACTAGACATTTCAGGCCCAGAGGGAAAAGTTTACTATCTATACAGTGCTTCTAGGAACTAAAACCAGAGGAAAAGAGTATTTTGCAAGAAGCAATATTTTGCAAAAAGAGTATTTTGCAAGCACCATCTAATGGTGGACATTAGGATAATCAACACACTGTGTGGGTAAAGCTGAATAGGTATTGCTTGAAAAACAGAAAACGGAGATATGAGTAAAAGCAAAGTGGGAACAAGATGGGAATAACTTAAAATTTTTTTTTTATAATTTGGGAAGAGAATGATAATCACTTAAACTTCATCAGGAAGTATTAATTTATCTCCATGCATGTAAAATATAAAGGGTAAT